TTTTTTTTTTTTAAGTTTATTTATTTATTTTGAGAGGTGGGGAGAGAGAGGGAGAGAAACAATCCCAAGCAGGTTTCAGGCTGTCAGCACAGAGCCGGATGCGGGACTCAATCCCACCAACCTCAAGATCATGACCTGAACCGAGATGGAGAGTCAGAAGCTCAACTGACTGAGCCACCCAGGTGCCCCTAAAGGAGGGGCCTCTTTGTTTTGGAGAAAGGACTGTAGAGTTGACACCAGGCAGAAAAAGGCACACATGTGTGTCTTTTGCTTCTCCCCAGATCCTGTACTTCACCAATGGCCATCTGTATCCAACTGGTTCTCAGGCAAAGAGGGCCAGCCTGCTTCAGAACCCCCCCACAGGAGGGGTAGCCACCCTGAAACTGACTGATGTCCACCCCTCGGATACTGGAACCTACCTCTGCCAAGTTAATAACCCACCAGATTTCTACACAAATGGGTTGGGGCTAATCAACCTTACTGTGCTGGGTAAGGCCGGCTGGGGACCTACCAGACACCCATGTACCACGAAAGATTGCAGTGGCCCTGCTAAATCTGCTAAATCTTCTCTCTACCGCCCCCCTTCCCCACCCCATATCTCGATTTCCAGCCCAAGGATACAACTGCACTGGGGACCCCAAAGGAAAATGCCTCCTTCCCAAAGTCTTCTAATCTAGATGGTCCTACTCCTGCCCCACCCTCCTTGAAGAATGACTCGTCCCTCGGCCCCTAGAAAAAAAAGATTGATGAGAGAGAAAGCCCTTCCCATACATAGGGATCTGAGTCACGGCCCCAACAACTCTATATTTGAGAGAATGTCTCATTTGTAGCCCAGGTTCTTTCTCTCCTTAGGTGAGTGGCAGAGAAGGAGAGTGGCCACTAAAGGAACAAGGGCCCCTCTCACAAAGCAGCAACTTTGTGCTCAGAGTTTCCATCTTACTCCAACCTAGAGCCTGCTCATGGATGAGCAAACAGAAACTATTAAAGAGGCTAGGGATATCTAGATGGAAAAGTGAAGGCTTAGGAGGTGTATAACAACAGCATTCAAATATCTGAAGGGTTGTCTTGTGGAGGAGAGATTTTTCATTTCTCTTTGCGGGCCTGGAGGGCAGAAATTAGGACCAAATGGGTGGATGTTATATTAACACAGATTTTGGCTCAGTATGAGGAAGAATTTTCTAACAATCAGAACTTCCAATAGTGGGAATCATTTCCTGGGGATGCAGTGGAATGTGAACAGAAGTGGACTACTATTTGGTAGGAGTATTGGAGCAGGAATTCTAGCATTTAATGGGAGTGAGGCTAAAAGATTGCTAAGGTACTTTCTGTGATTTTTGCAGTGCCTCCCAGTAGTCCCTTGTGCAGTAAGAGTGGTCAGACCTCTGTGGGGGGCTCTGCTGCACTGAAATGCAGTTCTTCCCAGGGAGCCCCCAGGCCAGTGTACAACTGGGTACGCCTTGGATCTTCCCCTACACCTTCTCTTGGCAGCATGGTGCAAGGTAAGGGCCCAGAACATCTGGGAAGAGAGGACTCAAGACCGGGGCAAATCTGTCTCTAGACTCCATATACCCACACTATCAATTCCATGCCTGTGGGTATGAGACAAATTGCCATACCTTTCCCTGCATCTTTCTTGGTGTCCTGTATTGCTCCCTCCTGTCTATCTTCCTGCAATCTGTGGCTCTACGGTCCTGGGAGCATTTTTTAACTTAAACGTATTCCTGATATCTTAGAAGAGAGTGGAAGGCAGGGGGCATAAGAGTCCCACTTTTGGGGATTTCTTAAGGGTCATGAATCATTGCCAGACTTCCTAGAGAGGAAACTGAGGCAGAGTAGCATGGACTGGCTTGAATCACAGTCAGTTTCTTTGGAGGAAACATATAATTGGGTAAGAGCCTTGGCTTCTCAGCCTCCTCATGCTTGCTCCAGCCCCAGCCCCAGCCAACTCCTTTATGGATCCAGAGAACCTTCCAGATCATCTGGTGTATGCTCTGGCTTCTAAAGGGAAAGTAAAAAGCTTAGGAAGACATTTGGGTAAGCTGAGTCACCCCAGAGGCTACAGTTTCTAACAATCAAGACTTCCCCCCCCCCTCCAACCAGGAACCTGACATCAGTTAGTAAGCATCCCTCCCCAATTCCTTGCCTTCTCCCCATCCTCTGAAAAGGCAGCTGTGTAGAGTGGAAAGAATACAGAAGTGGCAGTGGCTTTGGCACTTTCTGGGTCACCTTAGACAGTTACTTTCCTTCTCTGAGCCGGCTTCCCCACTTTTAATAAATGAGGTTAGCCCCTTCTTGACAGGATTGTTGTAAGGAGGTAGTGAAATTTGCTTTCATCTTAGTAGGTGCTCATTGTGATTCAAATGAATGATGGAAGGCTTCCTCCTTACCCTCTAGATGAGGTGTCTGGCCAACTCATTCTCACCAATCTCTCCCTGACCTATTCGGGCACCTACCGCTGTGTGGCCACCAACCAGATGGGCAGTGCATCCTGTGAGCTGACCCTCTCTGTGACTGGTAGGGGACACTGGGCAGAGGCCCAGCTGGCAGGCCTGGGTTGGAGAGGCTGCATGGAACTATCTGGGGAGGGGGAAAGGAAGGTCTGCTGCTCTGAGCTTCCTGTGTCTCCTTAGATCCATCCAAAGGCCGAGTGGCTGGGGCTCTGATTGGGGTGCTCCTGGGCGTGCTGTTGTTGTCAGTTGCTGCATTCTGCCTGATAAGGTTCCAGAAAGACAGGAGGAAGAGGCCCAAGGAGACATATGGGGGCAGTGACATTCGGTGAGCTGGAGGGCTGGGGGAGGGTACAGAAAGGGAGAAAAGGGCTTAGGTTATGAGTGGGTGGCTTCAGCCCTCAAACTCTGACATCTTTAGGGGTGTTTGGGGGTAAGGAGTGCTGTTCAGCTCTGGGATTTGGCGTGTGGGGGGGCAGTACAGCAAGTGCATTTGTGTGTGAGCAGTGTGCAGGGTGGGGGACTTGGTTCATGGCTTCCCTCAACCTCCTCATACTTCATAGAATTTTCAGTTTTTGAGGCCTTTTCATACATATCTACAGGATGTGGATGCCAGGAGTTGGATTTGCCCTGAGCCCTCAGCTGAGTTCAGTTTTTCTGGGTGGGGGTAGTAAGGAAAAGAGAGGCAAAAGCTGCCTGTGTCAACCACTTTAGCTTGTCAACCTTTGGGTCCTGAATAGGGATCAGAGCGCTAGTTCTCAGAGTGTGGTCCTCAGATTACCTGGACAGAACATACCAGGAGCTTGTTAAACATTCAGATTCAGGCTGCTTCCTATCCCTCCTGAAGCAGAATCTGTGGGGGCGAGGGTGATGGACCTGGAATCTTCATTTCAGCCAAAATTCCACAGATGATTCTCATGCACAGTAAACATGTGAAGTCCTCAGGTTAGAGGATGGGATGGGGGGCGGAGACCTCGGAGGGATGCCGCCAGCCTTCACTAAAAATTTGCTTATATCTACCAGGGAGGATGCCATTGCTCCCGGGATTTCTGAGCAAACTTCTGTGAGACCAGATTCTAGCAAAGGGCTCCTGCAGAGACCCCCCTCTTCCAGCAGTGTGACGACCACCAAGTCCAAGCTCCCTATGGTTGTCTGATTTCTCCCCCTGTCCTTGAAGGGGAATATCAAGAATTAAAGCCTTTGGGTGTCATATGGTCTCCCTCTTCTTTCTGCCGGCATAGCAAATTCCTTTTCACCAGTAGAAGACGGAATGGGCTGGGAGTCCTAGAGGTGATGCTGTAGGTGGGAAGTTTGGCTCCAAGGGAGTAGGTTTTAACAGAGGTCCTCTTCCCCTTTGCTCACCTCCACTTTTTGGTTTGATCAAGTGAAATTTGCCCAAGCTTCAGGTGGTGGCCTTGTGCACCCAAACTCCCTCCCCTCTGGCACCCTCTGAATACTTGGACATTCCTCTTTATTGTTCACATTCCAACCCAGCACGGTCACATGCACACACGGAGATAAAAATCCTTCGGGCCACAACCCCAGGAGCCCGGCGGGGGCAGGGCTAGCAGGGGCGGGGGCGGGGCCGCGGCAGACTCCTCCTACCGAGCCTCCCAGGCGCTCGGCGTTTGCATAAACAAGGTGAGAGCTGGAGAGGCGGCTCTCGGGGTGCGCTGGGGGGGTGGGGAGGGGAAGCAGATTACAGGCAGGCGTGGGGTTATAGGTGCGAAATAGGTACTTCCCTTACGATCAGAGCAAGAGGCATCCGGCACCATGAAAACCCTCTTCCCCTCTCTCCTCGCCCCAGAGCCAAAATTCTGGGGCTAGGCTGGGGCGCGAACAGCACAGAGACGCAGAGCGCCCCCTTCAGCTGCGCACAGAACGAAAGGACTGTTTTTTGTTTTTTTTTAAGTGAGTATACTTGGGCGACGCTTAGGGCGCCCCCCGCAGTGCGCGCAGGGAAGTGCGCGGAGACTGCGGAGGCAGAGCTGCATGCGGGGTGCTGGCGGAGGTGGGCGAGAAGCAAAAGAAGGAAGATGTGGGAGCGCAGGGTTTGGGGCTAGGGTGGGAAGAAAGGGCGAATGGGGACCATTCTAGACTGGAGGACTAACTAAAAGGGCACAGACTTAGCGACTCCTCGATGGAGCCTGCCTGGGAGTGGGAGTCTCTGGGGACGCAGGGAGGGCTCCTGAAGCTGGCAGGTTGGTGGAAAGGAGAGGATCACAAACACGGCAGGGAAGTCTCATCACTGCGAAGGGGACGCGCCATCCGTCTCTCCTGGCAACTGAGGACAGAGAAGGTCTGAGCACCTGCCCTCCCCGGTGCTTCCTCTCCTTCTTCCTTCTCCCTTCCCGAACCAGGACAAAAGGGCGGGAAGGGCCAGGGGGCCCCAGTCACCCAGAACCCCCAACCCGAGTCACTGAGCTGAAATAAGCCCGCGGCCAGTGCGTGCGTGCGCCTCAGTGTGTTTATAGCCTCAGGCCGGGTTTGTGCAGCCAAATGGGGGTGGCTGCGGTTCTGTATAGGTCCAGGTGTGTCCCTGTCGCAGCCTCAGGCGTCCAGATGGATCAGGAAACCCTCAGGCTGGGAGGGGGTGAGGGCGGGCAGAGGGAAGGGTGGACGATTGGGTCCTTTTCTCCCACTCAGGCCTCCCACCCGTTTCCGAGTCGTATTCATTACCTTTGAAAATGCTCAGTTCTTCGGTCCAGGGCGGGGCAAGAGGGAGGGAGGAGAGAGAGGAACAGGTGAGCTCTCGGAGCCCGCAGCACCTTCAGCCTCCTCCCAGCCACCCACCTCACATCCCGGGGGTAAGTCCCCCACCCTTAGCTCCCTCTCCACCTCTCCACCCGCTGCACGCCCTGAGTCCGCACTCTTTCCCGGGGTGGGGGGTGGGGAGCGGGGCCGCTCACAGCAGGTCCCGGGCTTGGGAAAGGGGAACCCTGCGGCCCGCCGCGCCCCGCCCGCCTCACCTGGCCTAGTCTCCGCTGGGGCCGCCGCCCGCGCCTCCCCGGGCGCCCCCAGCTCCGCCCGTTCCCCCGTGGCCCGGGCCCTTCCGGCCGCGCTCTCCGCTCTTTATCTTCTTCCTTGCCATGTGGCCCCGGAAACTCGCCTGGATTTTGGCAGCGGCCGCGTTGGCGCCAGGATCGTCCAGCGGGATGTCTAGAATGTCGTCGTCCGGCTTGGAGCACGCGCTCTCCTGGGGGCGGGGCGGGGCAGGGGGTACTTGTGGGGTGACTGGGCAGAGACCCCGCGCGAGGATAGGGTAGGAGTAGAGCCTTGCGGGGCTGAGACGAGGGAGACGCACGAGTGGGAAGCGCAGAGAGGGGAGCTGCGGGCGCGTCGAGAAGGGCTGAGGAAGGGCTGTGCGTGTGTGTGTGTCCCTCCTAGGGAACGGCAAGCAAAAAGGAAGGGTCAGGGGGTCAGGTGGCCACGGCCCTATTCCCAACTCGGGAAAGAGACGTGCACGGTGGGACGGGGTACAAGACAGCCAGATAGCCCTGAGGGAAGGGTCCTTCACCATCAGCAGGGCTGAGGAACTGCAGAACTGATGGCTGGTGGGCTGGGAGGAGCAAAATAAACAATGAGAGGGACTGGTGGACGTGACTGCCCCTCCCCTTGTCCTCAGAGGGTGCCTCCGGCTCAGAAAGGCTCCTTGCAGGAGTCCAGGATTCCCTTGGACAGGGTGTAGAAGAATCAGGCCGGTCCCTTCCCTGAGTAAAATCACACCAGGACTCAGTGCTGGAATTAGGGTGAGAGTGGGGCTAGCCCCTGGAGTCAGCCTCCTTCTCCCTAGGGCTAGAGGCCCAGAGACTGCTTTGCCATGGACTCTCCCTTTTCTAATGTTCCCCAGGAGGCACTCAAACACAGAAGAGAGGAGATGGTCTGGAAGAAGCTGAGAAAGCTTCACTCCAAAAAAAGGCAAAGGAAAGATGAGTGGGAGCAAGTAGTCCTTAGCCTTGTGTGCTCCAGAAGAGAGGAATTATGACAATAGCTACCCATTAAGCACTTCCCTTGTTCCAGGCACAGTAACACAGTGTTTTACAGACATTATTTTATTTAGTCCTGGCAAAGCTATGACGCACCTTTTATTGTTATCCTAGTTTACCCCTACTAAAACAGATGACTTTAGTGTTTATAAACCTTACATGAGGTGATACAGATGGTTACTATGATTTAGATGGTATCTATGATTTAGACCCTTGTATGTCAGAGTCCAGAGTATATTTTTAACCCCTATTCCGTAAAAATCAGCAGAGGCCATCAAGAAAATGACCCGAGCTCTACCACTTGCTACCTGTGTGGTTTGGGACAAGTTATCTAATGTCTTATATCAGCTCCTTCATCTGAAATCAGGATATAACATCTACCTCTGTGGGTTGTGAGGAACAATAAACCCCATGATACACATAAAGTTTCTGGCACAATCTAGTCACTCAATGTATAGTATCTATTACTATGATTCTTTTAATTAATAAGTTTATGTGAAATAGTTGTTTCTGTAGGCCGAAAGTGGTCATATAAAAACAATTTCATATGGTTCCGCCTATAATAATCACATCCACCCCTACGCCTCAGGTTTCTGTCTCCCATAACCTGCCCTATCTGACAGTGGAACGGGTTAGGGAATAGATGGCATTGATTTTAGAGGTAAGGCTCTGGAATGGAGAGGGCCTCTGTCCCTGTGCCCCTTTGTTGGTTAACATTAGAGCATGAATGTGGGTTGGGATGCAGATAGTTACTATGGAGTTAAAAAGGCATTTTGCTTTTGCTTTGGCCCTCTGGCTTCTAAGAATTGTCCTTTTTTTCTCTCCCTTAAGGACTATTACTATTTTAAAAATGGCTTCCGCTCATCATGCTTCACAATGCTGTTGTCATTTCCTGGGTTTCAGAGTTTTGCAATTTGTGCTCAAGATGCCCATGATTGATTTAAATGCAGTTAAAAGGAGTTATCCAGAAGCCAGTGTGGTTGTGGAGGGGACTGACACTCTTTTTGTCTTCTGCAGGTCTAGCGCGCTCTCTCTGACATCTTAGTCTCCACCTGTCATCAGAAACAACTCTTTTGGGTTCCTTGATTCTTAGAGCTCAGGCCTCTCTTGGGATATCCTTGGGGAACAGTGAAGTGTCTCCTCAACAGAGGACAATGATCACAACAACAACAACAACATAAACCCATTCCTGACCCATCTCTCTTTGGCCAGTAGCTGTGGAGGAAGGAGTACCTTCCCCCAGTCATGTTAAGGCCAACCTGCTGTCTCTACCCACCCCAGCTGGATACAGAATGGAAACCTGGAACAAGAGGAAAAGCCACCCAACACACTGTTCCTCCCCCAATCAGCCTCCTCTCACTCCAGCTGAATTCTCAGGGCAGAACTGCTAGAGAGAGTAAAAGGAATCTGGGAAGCGTCATGGTTCCTGGGCTGGTGCCTTCTAAAGCCAAGATCTGACGATGTGTGCCTGAGAGCTCTGTAGGAACTGGAGGTGGAAAGTGCACTAGTGGCTAAAACAGGAGCCAAGGCTTCTGGTCCCAAGTGGGCATATCCCTTCACCCCTGAGGGTCTCAGTTTCTTCAGCCACAAGTGGAATTTAGCCTAGATGAATAAATTCTTCTTTAGGTCCCAAATCCTAAAAGCTTTAAGAATTATCCCTTCCTAATGCTTATTGTATGCCAGGCCCTGTGCTAAGTGCTTCGCACACATTACCTCACTGAATCCCCATTTCAGAGGTCAAAAAACAGCCTCAGAGACATTTTGTAACTTAGCAGAGGCCAGCAGAGCTAACAAATTGTGATGGGATTCAGAAGCCTGGCTGTTAATGACTGCCTCAGGACAGGTAATTATTTCTATGAGTTCAGCTAGACCTCTAAGTTCAACTAGACCAAGCGAAAGAAAGGAGTGGGATCCAAAAAAATGTCTTTGCCTTTTCATATTAAGTGAATGTAGGAAAGGCACATATATGTGACTATGTAAATCAGCAACTGGTACATTTGAATCAACAGCACTGCCTCTTAAAAAAAGAGGCAGGTTTTCTTCTCATTTCTGTCTGAGCCTCCTTACCAAGGGGTAAGAAGGAAATAAGGCAGGATTAAGTGTTTCCCAAACACCAGGTCAGATGGTCAGCAAGGAGAGCCCCAGAATGAAAGATGAAGAGAGTCCTTCCTGCCTTGGGGTGCCTGGCTGGCTCAGTGGGTAGAACATGCGATTCTTGATCTTGAGGGGGTTGTGAATTCAAGCCTCACTTGGGCATAGAGCTTACTTAAAAAAAATAAAAAATAAAAAATAAAATAAAAAAAAAGAGGGCCCT